TATATTCATTGATTATACATGCAGACAGGGAACTGCTGGGAGGAGTGCAGTGGAGGACAATAAAAATGATCGAGACCCAGAGAATATCCCGTATGAGGGAAGGCAGAAAGACCTGGGCTTGTTCAGCATGCTGTAGGGAAGGCTGAGAGGGAATTGGCATCAAAATGTTGTTGTCAGGAATCTCATAAGCAATGGGCCACCAGCCTGATGTAACTCCATTTCCTATGGGACTGTGAGCATTATGCTCTAGGTCAGCTGTGCGCCAAACATTCTGTCGACAAGAATACTGTGAGAATCCTTTGCAGAAGCTTTGTTGGGCTTCCCTTGGTGAACACTAGAGGAGTAAATCTGTCATCAAAGCAAATTAAATTTATCCACAAGACTTTCCTCTCCTGAACCCGTGTTGGCTGTTACCAATGAGCGTGTTGGCTTTGCAGTATTTCTCAGTCATTCCCAGGATGATCTCCTCCATAATTTTGCCAGGTGCCACAGTGAGACCAGCTGGCCTGTAATTAGCAAGGTCATCTTTCTTGCTCTGCTTGGAAACTGAGATATTTGCCAGCTTCCAGTCAACATGTTGAGATTCCCAAGACCCTTGGATAAACCCCACAGCCCATACATTTACATGCCTACAACTGGAGCAGCAAATCCCACGCAGGTTGATAGTCAGTTCCTGCCCCGTAGGCTTACCTCACTCTGTGTATCCATTCACATTCCTTTCCTCACAAACTCTAAATGAATATCTCTGCTCAGAGGAGCTGGACTTCTGCCCTGCTTCTTGACTTGCTACGCATTGAAGAGGAAAAAAACTGAGTTTTTTTAATTCTGAATGCAACTAAACATGATGTGTGATAAAACATGTGAGGAGGGCAGCAGTTAAAATGACTCAAAGAGGAAAACCTGCTTTGCTCTTTATTTTTTTTTTCTACCCAATGCGAATCAACACAGCAGTTCTGAGATTACGGTGATGTAAGATGAAAACACAGAATAGCGAGAATGCTTTTTGGGGGAACCTAAAAGGAAAGAGGAGACACATGAGGGATGCCACTGGACAGGAATTCACTGGATGCAGTTGAAAAGTAAATCATCCCAGCTCATGGCTGGGTGGTTGTATCCTGTTGCTGGGGATCCCAACACCTTGCAGTTGCTTGCTTCCTCCCCATGCATTTTCCCTTGGAGCTGTGAGTTCCTGCCACCTCCAGGGCCCTGCTGTACCTCTCCTGCACCAGACCAGGCACCTGCTCCCTGGGATGGAGGAAGCAGAGCTCATCGGTACTGCAATCATCATCTCCTCGCAGCCTCCTGGGGAGGTCAGGGAGCATTCAGAGAACCTCACCTGACAACATAGGCAAACTCCTGCTGGCTTCACTGGCTCACCAACATCAACCTCCACTTTCTGCAAACTGCATTCCAAGCGCAGCAGCTTTAGCTGAGCACAGCAAATGTGAAGGCCCTGCTGCAGGAGATCTCAGACACAACTTCCCAAGGTCAAAGCAAAAACCTTCAAGCTCAAAAGGGATCACTTGCAAGGCAAGCACACACTGGAAAACACTCTGATATCTCTGTGCTGTGGGGATGAGCTACTGGTGCACCCTGTGGAATTGCACTGCCTTTTCTTCCTACCACCTTCAGAAACCTGGGATAGTGAATTTAGGAAAAACAAGCTCAGCTTTTTGTAGTTTTATTGGAGACAAACAAGGCTTGGTGTCACAGCTGCTCTGACCAGCTGATTAAAGCATTCTGGAAGAGCAGTAGAACCAATGTGCAGGAAGGATGATAGGGTTGTGTGAAAGAAATGCCTTTCCCAGAAGCAAGCACTGGGCTGGAGGAGGCACCAAAACCAAACCCTGCTTGCACCTTTCCTTCTCCTCATTCCACATGCCGACATTGATTTTAAGAACAACAAGCAAGAAAACGGTGAATCAGAACTTGTTTGGAAGCTCTCCCCACACTTAGAACACTTGTAGGGTCTCTCCCCTGCGTGGATGTGCTGGTGCCCATTCAAGTCATAACAACTCAGCCACTTTATTCACCCCTTTCCCATTACTCAACAGATGATTCTCAGAAAACCTCCAAGAGCCACGTTACTGCTCTCCTGACCCTTCTCTCAGATTCATCAGTGCACTCAAATTACTGAGAGCAACACAAGCACACAGACACACAGAACATCCCTACACAGCCGCTTCTCCTTAGGAAACGGCATCAAAAAGCTGCTGGCAGGAAGAGCAGAAGAGGAAAGCGGGCATGGTGAGAGAACTGCTTTGGGCAGCAAGGAAAGGCCATCTGAAGCTCCTGGCTTAAGTCCCTTCTGCAGAGGGTGCCAGTGATGCCACCTCCTTTGCAAACTCCTCCTGTGTGGGGAGAAGTATCTGGGTCTCCCTCATCCTTGGGCTCACCAGAATCCTCTGGGATCTACTGAGGGCTGAGCTCCAGATGAAGCTCTTCCCACACTGCCTGCAAACAGAATTTTTTCCTTCCTGTGACACATCAGCCAAGCTGAGATTTCCATTGGGCCCTCACCTGCTCCCCCACAGCAGATGAGTTTCTACAGGGGAGATCAGAAGTGAATTCCAAGGCATCTCCCTGCACACAGACCTGACAGAAATGTGCCGCAGAGGGTTTCCAGTGGCTGTGACAAATCCCACTCTGGATTCTCCTTAGAGTGTCCACACAATACCTTGACTGCAGCTGAATGAGAGCAACAGGGGTAATACCCTTGCAAAGAATGAGAAAGGGGATTCAGTTTGGCCACAGAGCTCTTCCTCTACTCAAGGGATTTGTAAGGTTCATCACCACACAAAGCCACAGGTGGTGACCAGGCTGGGGCTCTGGCTGAAGCTCTGCCCACATTTGGGGCATTGCAGGCTCTGTATCCTGTGTGGCTGTGCTGGTAGGTAACAAGGCTGGAACTGCTTCTGAAGGTTCCCCGTGTCTTGGGATGCTTCTAAAGCCCGTGTGTGCTGCCGATGTGCTTGTGGGTATTGAGACTAGATCTGTGTTTATAGCTCTTCTCACACTCAAGACACTTATAGGGTCTCTCTCCGGTGTGCATGCGCTGGTGGCGCTTCAATAGTGAACTGCTTTTAAAGTTCTTTCCACACTGAGGACATTTATAGGGTCTCTCTCCTGTGTGGATGCGCAGGTGCAGCTTCAATTCATAACTTCTTTTGAAGCTCTTCCCACACTCTAGACACTTGTATGGTCTCTCTCCTGTGTGGATGCGCTGGTGCTGTTTCAATTCAGTACTGCTTTTGAAGCTCTTCCCACACTCACGACACAAAAAAGGTCTCTCCCCTGTGTGGATGCGCTCGTGGTGCATCAGATCAGAACTTCTTTGGAAGCTCTTCCCACATTCAGAACACTTGTAGGGTCTCTCCCCTGTGTGGATGCGCTGGTGCTGGTTCAATTCAGAAGTTCTTTTGAAGCTCTTCCCACATTCAGGACACTTAAAGGGTCTCTCTCCTGTATGGAGGCGCAGGTGGCGGGTTAGGTGGGATCTCCATCTGAAGCACTTTCCACAATCAGAGCACTTGTACGGGCTCTTTGTTGAGTGTATGCACCGGTGGTTAACAATGCTGGAATCTATATTAAAGCTTTTCCCACACTCAGCACACTGATTCTTCTTTTTCCACACACCCATGCTGCTGCAGTCTTCAGGCTGATTTTGACCTACACTGAAGTCCAGTGAGTTCCTTGATGTCTTTCCCAGATGCTTTCCCAGTGCCTTCTTGATGTGCTCACCCTGACCTTCCTCCAGGCCTCTTTGGACATCCCTTCTGATTTCCTCCACGGAGATGCCACTCCACTGCCATTTGACCACACCATATTCCTGCAGATCCTCCAACATATCTGCAATCCTAATTCCTGCTGGATGACAGGAAGTCCAGAAATAGCACACAGTGCCCAAAATTAAACACAGATGTCTCTTTCAACCCCATCCACCTCCTTCCCTCCACCACCTCACCTGGGCTGAGGTCTCCTGGAACGGCCTCAGGGCTACACACATCTGGGACCCAAGGGTCTTCCCCTCCTTCAAGCAGGGAGATCAGCATGGGTTTGGGGGCTGGAAGTGGAGCTTCAATGATAGAAACATTGGACATAAGAATGTTTTCCTGATTCTGGCACAGCTGCTTGTCCAACAACTCCACTCTCAGTCCCGCCCCACAATAAAAGCACAACTAGGGCCAGAATAACATTTATAGAATTATAATTTTATAGAATTTCCTTTCATATTTTTCAAACTGCTCTATGCCGAAGGTTTCAAAAATGTTTATG